ATTTATTTTTTCCGGAATTTTCAGAAAAGTCCACTTTCATCTCTGGTACTTGAACTAACCACACTGAACTAACAAGACTGTAAAAAAAAAAAAAAGAAGCAAAAAAGAATCAAACACATTTCATAGAGACATGACATCAAAGAATGGAATAGAGAAAATACATGCTTTCATGAGTCCTGCAATGGGGACATTTTCCTAGCAGCAACATGGACCATATAAGAGCACAGAAGAATTCAAATTCCACAAACCATCTTTGTACCTATCAGACGAGACAGTAGTGCTGTGACTGCTACCCATGATTAAATACAGCCGACTCCCACTTGCTCACGGTTCGGCACGTGCGGGTTCTCATTTTCGCTGCTTTATTTTCTATATTTTTAAATAGCTTTTGCATTCCCCATTTTTCATTGAAACCGTATATTGAATGTTTATCAGCTTATTTTTGGGGAATAATTTTGGGGGCGGGGGGGTTTAAGGGACAGCTGTCGCATAATTACACATATAGACAGACAAACACTCACATTCACAACTACAAAATTTAATTCAATTCAATTAACCTAACAAACACATTTTGGAATGTGGAAGGAAGCCGGAGTCCCCGGAGAAAACCCAGACAAACACGGGGAAAAAATGCAAACACCATGAAATTAATGAAAACATTCACACAGAAAATCAAACACCCAACCTTAGAAGTATGACCAACAAAACACTCAGCAACTGCCCGACTGATATAACATAGTTACTCAATGATTTATTAACATTTTTGCACAGTCTGTTGTTGGTTGTAGAGTCAGGAAAACTTGTGTGTGTGAATGAAAGGAGCTACTGAGTGATTTGATTTGTTAATTCTGCTTCTCAGTCAATAGAGGAGCAGAAAGAGCACTACCCCGACCAGCCCCGCCACCCTCAAGTTTGCATTCTGGTCAACCTCGAACCCTCCAGGTTAATTAACGCTCATGAGGAACTAACAATGATCACGGCTGGCTCATGTTACAAATCACTCAATCCTCTAGGGTCCTGCATTGGTGGTGTCTGGCGATGCCGACTGTGGGGTGATGTGCTGGTCCTATGAGGAGGTGCATGCTGGGACTGAGGGGTTTTCGCCAGCCCTGCAGATCGGTGAGGGCGGCTTTGGAGTCGTGTACAGAGCGCGCCTAAAGAACACTGACTGTGCAGTCAAGAGACTCAAACAGGTCAGCAAATCCAGGAATCTACGCTAACTTTGGCACTGGTTGCATAAATTTGGTCGCCCCCTTTTTTGTGGCGGTACAGCATGATCACATTTGCTGATGTATAGATAGTTGTCTCAATTGGCATAATGTAGTTTTGCATGATGTAAAGATTGACGGTGACTGAAGATATATTTGCAAAATATTTTATTGTAACAAACTTGTTTACAAAAATCAGTGGCGGGCGAAACGGGTCACCTATTTTATATTACCGGTACTTAAAAAGAAGACTTTGACTTACTTTGACGGTGCGTCAAAATAAGTCCTTGCATGAAAGTGGTCTGTGCTTCAAAAAAAACAGTAGACACCAGACGGTTGCCCTAGCCCTCTTTTCCATTACCCCCAAACAGCCTTAGACCACACCGCCTAATTTCAATTATTCAGGCACGGGGCGGCGTGCCACGAGTGGTGAGTCTCCACTACTGTTTTCGTCATGAGTCAAAATATGAATTGCCATTGCATGATGTGGCCACATCGTAAAGTGCAGCCCAACAAATGCACAGAAGCTTTCATCCATCCATCTATCCAACCACAACTGTTGGGCCGGTGAAGAGTCGAGATTTTGCTCTGCGTATGGCAGTGGCGGATGCTGGTCTGTCAAGGGGGCAAGCTCAATTTCGGCCGACATCATAAAATGTGTCCGTTTATTTTTACGTGGATTCTACTCTCCGTTCTTTTTCAAGAAAATTATCTGTGACCCTGTCATACCAACAAGGCGTCTTTTCCAGGGACTTAACTAGTGTCCTACAACTACAGCAACTACAATAAAACCCACCAGAAATAAAATATTAATTTGTCGCTAGTCGTTTTCAACAAAGAGAGTGTCGCTCAGATGATTAGAAGAAGTCTCCAGTTCAACTCAGAACAGAATGAGAATTTAAAAATGCTCCCACGATCCCGACACCAAATGATCGGTGATTGGCTCATTTCGCTGTCAATCAAAAAGAGATTCAGCCTCAGACAGATCATCCAATCATCATGCAGAAAAGCTGAGCGTCCGCGCCAGCCTATAAACGCCTACTGTCCATAGACTCCCAGAGACGCTGAGCGTCCGATGGGTGTCCGATGGGCGGGGCAAAACCAGCATTTATCCAGTGACTCGTCTCGTTTCAATACATTGGGACTACTCTCTAGACGCCCAGCATCCGTGCTGCAGACGCTCAGCGTCCACACAGTTTAAAGCACAGTGAAGCTGCGGGAATGAATGAGAAGAGAGTCGCGTCGTATCCAGTAATAAGAAGCTGATTCAGAACAAAAGTTGAGTGCGTTGTAGCGCATATTTAGTAAATGAAATGGACACACAATTGTATGTACACACATGTTTTTGATCATTTATTTTTGGACATTTTAGGGGAAGCTGAGCTTCCCTTGCAGTCTTAGAGCAGTCGCCTCTGCCGTATGGAGACATTTCATTCAAGTGAATGACACCCGGCGAATGGCGTGTGCGATTGTGAAAAGCTTTACCCCAAGTGCAAAAATGTAATTAGTAAATCTGAAATTGTAAATATGATTCAGTTTGCCTTTTATTGTTTATTTTATTTTATGTATTTTGAGGAATTTGGTGACGCCTGGCGTCAAGCCTGGAAATGGGCATGTGCAGCCAAGTCAATGGCAATCAAATGTACAATAATAATAATAAGAATAATGATGATGATAATAATAAAAATTAGTAGTAGTAATAGTAGTAGTAGTAGTAGTAGTAGTAGTAGTAATAGTACGTGGTATTTGACTGGTTAACACGTCTGCTTCACAATGCAGAGGTGTGGGGTTCAATTCCGGCTCTGGCCTTTCTGTGTGTAGTTTGCATGTTCTCCCCGTGCATGGCTGGGTTTTCTCCAGCTACTCCGGTTTCCTCCCAGATTCCAATAACATGCGTGTCAGGTTAATGATACACTCTAAAATTTCCTTGGGTGTGATTGTGAGTACGAATGGTTGTTGGACGATGTGTGCCCTGCAATTGGCTGGCAACCTGTTCAGAGTGTCCCCTGCCTACTGCTCGAAGACAGCTGGGATAGGCTCCAGCATGCCCGCAATCCTCGTGAGGGTGAAGCGGTTTAGATAATTGATGAATGGATGTTCTTCCCAACATTCTCTTCTGTGAGAATGTATGAAAAAGAAAGTTTCCTACCGCAAGTGGTTGACAGGTGGGGGGAGGGCAGGGGGAATTCGACTCACCGCTGATTGGAAAAAGAAACTTAAAAATTATCAATATAAAATGTCCTCCTGTGGGATCATAGCAAAGATCTGTTTTCAAAAGGAAATGATAAACTTAATTTCAACTAAAGTTGTCAATTGATGGACAGGTGGCATATGACAGGTTCAGTTGAACCATTCTGGCATGGCGGGGAGACTCTGGGTTTTTAGGATAATGAAATTGAGTAATCTGTTGAATATAAAATTTATTTTATGATGATATTATTATTATCATTATTATTGCTTAGATTTTTTAGAAATATTTCTGTAATGTATCCATTTTTTAAGGATTTTGCCTGTATGCCACTTTTTAAATACATTTTAAAATTTCACATACCCCCTGGAGTGCCTTCACTTTTCCCTCAGGGGCACATACACACCCATTTGAGAACCACTGCCCTACAGTATCCTGTATTGTTACAAATCCCGATTGAAAATTAACTTGTCATCTTAACCAGCTATGATTCCAAATTTTCCATTTTCCTTTTAAATGTCAAAAGCATTACTAAATCAATAAATCAGCAAATTAAAAATATAATTGACTCAAAAGTAATATAGACGTAATATTGTAAATAAACTTATTTTCAAATGCAAATAACTAGTCATATGAAATGTATTACATTTTCAAAGTAACTTGCCCTACACTGCTGAAATGATACATCAATTTATAATTAATAAAACCTGGATAGTGGGCATATTATGTTGTTTTCTGTTTGTAAAAAAAGAAAATTAATTTAAGACCATTTCATGTGGTTGACTTTGCCTTTGTCATATTGTTGTATCTAAAATGTTTTGGTGATATTATTTGGCAATATTTCAAAGTCTATATTCCTAATTCATGCTATTGTCTATTTGATTTATTTTTATCAATAAGAAGTTACTTCTTCATTGATCAGTACATGAAGAGTTGGGGGTTTTTTTCATTGCATACTTACCCCGGCCGGTAATTATTTGTAGGATGATTTATTTATTTATTTTGGTCTTTCTTCAGTCATACTATTTTAAAAACAATACACTTAACAATTTTCTTTTTGACAGGACTGCATGCAGGACTTGAACATAAAGGAAACCTTCAATGCTGAAGTGGAAAAACTGTCAAAGTTAGTGTCCTCAAGCACGTACATATTTACACCGGCATACACTTAAAACTCATGCGCCAAGCATGGGCCTTGTTGCGTGTTACTATGCAATATTTGTAACTCCATTCTGTGGCCGACTAGGTTCAGACACCCAAACATTGTGGACCTGCTTGGATTCTGTCAAGGCCCAAGTGTTTGTCTCATCTATAGCTACATGGAAAACCGATCCCTGGAGGATCAGCTCCACAGCGTAATATTTTATACACACACACACACACACACACACACACACACACACACACACACACACGCGCGCGCACACACATGCACACACACGCACACACTGATATAGCTGTGTGTGTTTAGGTTTCTTCTACTCTCACGTGGCCTGTGAGGGTCCGCATCGTTCATGAAGCATCAGCAGCGTTGCAGTACCTTCACTCTCCTCCAGATGGACGCAACTCTGTCATCCATGGCGATGTGAAAAGGTTAACACGTCACAGAATCTACTTGCATAAGACACTGTTGGGAAGAAGGAAATACTGCACAGTACTCCATTTGGAACGGTCAAGGTCCAATATTAAAACGTTCCAGTCAAATGTAAATTAGAAAAACGTGGCCAACAAGCATGATCGTGTGGTACATCAAAATTGGATTTCATTTTCTTCAGTATCACGGGTGCTACATTTTTTTTTTTTTTTTTGGGTTTTTTTAGTGTCCCGGGGTTTTTCTTTTTTTTTTTTTTTTGGGGGGGGGGGGGGGTCTACTCTCCTTTAACGACTCACCACAGCACCGAGCTTAATTTTCTGCAACCAGACGGTCCCATCTCGGGGTAATAGGAGACAATGACACCTCAAGTGTGTGGTTTATGTCAAGTCTACTTCGTAATTTGGTTTTTGTCGCCGTTGCTGCAGAAAAGCCCCGCCTCACACAGGTAGCATGTCAGAAATGGCAACAGTGCTACTGTGCTGATCTCAGAATATTCAGACATAACTTTAATCCAGTTGTCTCGAACGTACTTTTAAGGCCGCCGTCATTTGTGATCTCCAGCAGTTTTTTTACTCATTTTGCGAGCTCCTGCGTTTTGTTTTGAAGTAATCGGTCACGTGGTGGAGAAGCGTGGCTTGACGTGTGCCAAGCGTGACACAGACGGATGTAACGGAGAATCCGGTAGTTTTTCAAAATAAAACATTTTTCGTATTCCGAAATAAATAAAATGGAATTAAGGCAAGTTCTTTCTGTGTGGCCCGGTACCAAATGCCCGGCGGACCGGTACCGGTCCGCGGACCGGCGGTTGGGGGCCCCTGTTTTAGTGTATCTACTCAGGCACCACTTCTGCCTCTGTTATCCTAAAACTGGCATTGTGCAATAATTGATAGAATGGAATCTCAGAAATGTCCATCTGTTTTTACTGTCACCACCATATGTTGTAATAATGTACGTATGTAATTAATAATACAAAATAAATGATTATAATTAAGTTTAGTATAGAGTTTATGCAGACTTCAGCAGTATTTATAAAAGCATCATAAAACTGTTTTCATTGGTCATTTTGATAGGCACTCATGAAAGTACATTGAGATGACTAAGATTTACATTCTATTTCAAGGTTAACATTTGACATGAAATGAACACCTATGATATCAATGTTTGCCACTCAGATATCAATATTGTACTGTATGATGATACATCACAGTAATCATAGTAGGAATTGTGACTTCAGAAATTGTGACTGCCCAGTTTTACAGAATACATCATGTGACTTCCAGTATACAGTCAAATCAAGTAAATCAATTGGGTCTCCATCACTTCCATTTCCTGTTGCAGTTCAAACATCCTTTTGGACCGCCACCTGGTGACAAAGCTCGCTGACTTTGGCTTGGCTCGCTTTGCGTCTCCAAACACATCGAGCCGTCTGGTGTCCAAGACGACCACAGTGGGTCAAAAGTCCAAGGTGAGGGGAACACTGGCATACCTGCCAGAGGAGTACTTGAGGAGTGGTCAGCCAAGGACGCCGGTGGATGTCTACAGCTTTGGTGTGGTGAGTCCCGATTATCTCATGCTTCAGATCAGAGGGTCACCTTTGATCTGAAGCCTCCAGTACTCTAGGGCAGGGGTCCCCAACCGCCGGTCCGCTGGGCATTTGGTACCGGGCCACACCGTAAGAACTTGCCTTAATTCCGTTTTATTTATTTCGGAATACGAAAAATGTTTTATTTTGAAAAACTACCGGATTCTCCGTTACATCCGTCTGTGTCACGCTTGACACACGTCAAGCCACGCTTCTGCATCACGTGACCGATTACTTCAAAACAAAACACAGGAGCTCGCAAAATGAGTAAAAAAAAACTGCTGGAGATCACAAATGATGGCGGCCTTAAAAGTACGTTCGAGACAACTGGATTAAAGTTATGTCTGAATATTCTGAGATCGCCACAGTAGCACTGTTGCTATTTCCGACATGCTACCTGTGTGAGGCGGGGCTTTTCTGCAGCAACGGCGACAAAAACCAAATTACGAAGTAGACTTGACATAAACCACACACTTGAGGTGTCATTGTCTCCTATTACCCCGAGATGGGACCGTCTGGTTGCAGAAAATCAAGCTCGGTGCTGTGGTGAGTCGTCATTTTCATGCACTTTGAATTTGCGTTGTATCGTATTTTGAAGGCATTAAACATTGCCATAGCGATTGGAGTGTTGCGGCGTACTGACCGCTGCCCAGTACTCTAGGGAAGTGGTCCCCAACCTTTTTTGCCCCACGGACCGGTTTAATGTCAGACAATATTTTCAGGGACCGGCCTTTAAGGCCGCATAAATACAACAAAATAATATGATATGACTTGCATTAAAACTGTGATATTTGAGAAACATAATAATAAACACGAATCATGACACGAAGAACGTCCCATCTGCCCGCAACACTCTGGTTGCTATGGCAATGTTTAAACGTGCCTTCTAAATAAGATACGCCACAAATAAAAAGTACACCGAGAAGCGCCTTGACCTGCGTCAAGAGTGACATGTTGTGGACGGATGTAACAAAGAATCCAGTCAATTTTCAAAATAAAACATCTTTCAGATTCTGAAATGAATAAAACGGAAGTAATGTGAGTTATTTATTCTTTCTGTGCAGCCAAATACCAAGTGACCGACGGACTGGTACCGGTCCGCGGTCCAGGGGTTGGGGACCATTACTCTAGGGCACCTATGTGGCATGTTTTAGATCAGTGGTCCCCGGGCCGCGGGTCATTTGGTGCCGGGCCGCACAGAAAGACTAAATAACTTAGATTATTTCCGTTTTATTCATTTCGGAATCTGAAAGATGTTTTATTTTGAAAAATTACCAGATTCTATGTTATATCCGTCTACAGTATGTCACTCTTGATGCAGGTGAAGGCGGTGCTTCTTGGTCAGGTGACAGGTTAGTGCTAAAATTAAACCCAAGAGCTAGCAAAATGAGTAAAAAATAACAAACGTCTTTGGAAAGTTCCTTTGGGAAGAGGAAAAGGCCCAGCCAGGAAGGAGAGAGAAGAGGAGCCGACAACTTCCAAAAAAAAGAAAGCTACATTTACTAGACAGTATCAGGAGTCCTAATTAAGATACGGATCTATCTCAATGGGAGATTCCCATGCACCTAGCCCACTCTGCGTAATATGCGGCAATGGTGAGTTGTATTTTTCATGCACTTTGTATTTGCGTTATATCTTATTTTGAAGGGATATTTAAACGTTATCATAATGACCAGAGAGGGTTGCGGCCATATTGGACGCTCCTCATGTCATGATGCATGTTTATTATTATGTTACAAAAATACCACAGTTTTCATGCAGGTCATATCATATTATTTTGTTGTATTTATCCGGCCTTAAAGGCCAGTCCCTGAAAATATTGACCAACATTAAACCAGTCCGTGGAGCAAAAAAGGTTGGGGACTGCTGTTTTAGATGACTCCAGCACACCTGATTGAAATGATCAGCATCGTTATCAATCTTTTGCAGAGCCTGCTGATGAGCTGATCATTTGAATCAGGTTTGCTGGAGGAGGGAAACCTCTAAAACAGGGGTGCCCAAACTTTTTTGACCGAAGAGCTACTTTTCGATCAACCAACCTCCCTTGATTGACCCGTTACCGTGCACACACGCATATGCACACACGCAGGTACACACGCATGCTATGATGAGCAATAGCGGGACGCTGAGGCATGCGAGGTTCTTAGGCAGCGTGTTAACGATTGTAGCTCACGCGTACCGTTTTAAAATGCTTCTCTCGGCCCTCCAGATTCCCATTCTTTGCCCGTCCCCTCTCTGAATTGTACAAAACAAACTCTGAATGAAAATAATGATAGCGATAAAAGATATAGCGCAACAACTCTGATCACAAGCTGCAACCGCAGACTGCTGAGCGCTAACAACTTCCGGTGACGCAGTCACACATCACCGTAGGTTAAATACTGTATTACCTGCTTTATTTTCTTTTCTTTTTAAAATACTTTTTGTGAAAGTGAGACTGATAGAATATTTAGGGTGCAGTGTGCATTAACACAAAAAATACATGACTAACATGCACAGAGACACAAATGTTTTATTTTTTTCCCCTTTACACCGCTCGGATCGACTTGGGACCAGTCCTTGATCTACTGGTCAATCGCGATCGATGTAATGGGCACCCCTACTCTAAAACATGTAAAGATATGTGCATTAGAGCAGTGTTTTTCAAAAATTTTTGAGCCAAGGCACACTTCTTTCATTGAAAAAAATCTCGCAGCACACCACGAGCTGAAAATGTGAAAAACCCCCGCTTATTTTCAAAATTAACGTGTTATATTGTTACTATAATTGTTTTTAACATTGAAGAATGACGTTATAACAGCTTGAATTGGAGTCAAATGAGCACAAAGAAAAAAGTGTTTTATAATCTTTAAATATTTATTGTTTCACTGTCATCCTGCATTCATGCGGCACAAATTCGCTTGTCTCTTGTGGTCGAAACACAAGGCATTTGGCTAGGTGTTGCTGCTCCCTAGCTGTATGGGACGCTACTACACGATTACTTTCTGGGCGATTCACAGGCATTTTACCGCGGCACACCTGATAATGTCTCGTGTCACACCAGTGTGCCGCGGCACAGGGTTTGAAAAACACTGCATTAGAGGACCGGCGTTGGTGACCTCTGCTTTAGATAGATGAGAATGTGAGACAGAATGCAAAGATGCAAGGAAGTGAGTACCTGGCAGCATAACTGTTCAGTCTTGAATTTTGTCTCTTTTTCCACAAGGCAGAGTTATGCTGATCCTCGCGTGTGTGTGTGTGTGTGTGTGTGTGTGTGTGTGTGTGTGTGAGTGCGCGTGTGTTTGCGCGTGCATGCGTATGTCTATTGCAGGTGTTGTTGGAGGTACTGACTGGTCGGCGAGCTCTGGAGGCAAACAAGAAGTTGGGAGATATTTACCTGGTTTGAACTCTTAGTCCCACACATGTTCACAAGTATGGGCATACACACGCTCACAAATATTCCCATGGTTCCGTAGAAGGACGTAATCCAAGAAGTTCAGGAGGGCCCGACTGATTGTTATGCAGCGGCCTGGGGTAGACAGCTGGACCGCCGGCTAATCTCAGGTCAGTGTTTACCATCCGGCTGTCCTTGGGTCTCACGGAGCCTCTCTTGACACTGCTTGTGGCGTCAGGAGGGGACGCCACAGAGCTGGCCGGGAGCATGCAGATGGTGGAGCTGGCCTGCGGGTGTCTCAATGAGAAATGGAAGAAGAGGCCCACCATGACTGAGGTTTGTTTAATATCTGATTTATGCGAATAACCATGACCGCGCCCTTCCAGGCTCCAAAAAGCATCAACAAAACTTTGTGGAAGCTGAGAAAAAGAAGCTTTTCAGTAGTGTACTTGCATACGAACATAACAAAAACAATTTCATGAGGCCGTGAGAAGAAAAGGAGGCGGAGATGGCAGGTCGGGGGTCTCGTTGCAAGGCAGGAGCAGTGCAATTCAAATAAATTCGGCTTGGATATGAAAATGTATGTTAAATAAGGCCTTTTTAAATACATTGTGAATGATAGTTGAATGACGAAACAATGATGGGCTGCGGCAAAAGATGACTTTTTTTCATTGATGGCAAAAGGCCAGGTGCTTGAGCACAACTTAGGTTCTATGTATGCATGTGACGGTATTTATAATTTGGAGAAACATCAAGAATTCTTTAGGTGTTTGTCAAGCTCGTAAGTAGGTGGTGCTGTGACTAAGAGTCAATAATTGTTTCTGGATACCTTCAGACCTGAACTGTCATCAAATGCATGACATTTTGAAAAGATATAAGCCAACAACTGTTTTTTTTTCATGGCAAAAAGTCAAGGTTTAAGAGAAAGAAAGATCAACATCATCAACAATTAATTTACTAGCCAACAAGTAGTTGATTTAGCTATTTATTTGCTTTGTTTTTCTCTCAAATTTCTCCCGCTGGCTAAAAGCCTTCTCTGTGACGCAAATGAGCGGTCATAGTAATGCGGTTCATCTGCGATATAAACAGAAGCGTTGTGGGTCATGTAGTGTAGTGTCCGAAAATGACGCCGTATTTTTTTTTTGCCAGTGTTTTGGATTTTATGGGCATGAAGCTTTTTCCTCTGCAGAGACGTTCATGATTGAGAAAAAACTGAATGTGGCTTTGTGTTACAAATCTATTATCAATCACCACCAAAATTCACATGCATATCTCGACCTATGCCCACACCAATCTCTAAAAATATTAAAACAATCCCCTCAATATTTTGATTTTTATGAACATAAAGCATTTTCCTCATTCAGCGACATTAAACATGAGTGCGTACCTATGGAGACGAAGATGGTGATGTCATGAAATCTCAAATATTGGTAAAATGCAAAATTCTGCGGCGATTGTTTTGATATTTTCAGAGGTTGAAGTGAGCAGAAGTAGAGATGTGCATGTACATTTTGATAATGATTGATCATAGTTTTCTGACATCAAGCCACTTCAAACGTTTTGACATTAAGCGTTTTAGACTGTCCCAGGAAACTAGCATTAGCACTCACAGGCTACCATGTGTGTTTGGTGTTCTGTTTTGGTATGCTTACATATTTTAGCGTCTACTTTGGATTATACAATATACTATACAACTTTATTGATATAGCGCTTTCACAACAGCTGCAGCTGTAACAAAGCGCTTTACAGAACATTTAACATAAGATAAGATAAGATGTCTTTATTTGTCCCACACTGGGGAAATTTACAGTACAGCAGCAAGATAATGGGTAGAAAGAAGAAAAGAAAACAAACACCGTTCCATTAAGTGTTCAATTAAGTTCAATTAACATGTAGGCATGAAGAAGAATAAGAATAAGAAAACATTTAATCGTCTCACAATGGAGAAATTCCCAATTTACAGGAGCAAAGTTATGAAAGGAAGAAAGTAGAAGAACAAAAAGTATAGGAGCTAGTTATTGGCCAGCAAACTCACGTTTATTAACAACCAAAAGACAGCTTTTATATGCCAGTGATTGACATCGAAAAGGAACAGTGCTCTCATGGTCTCTGTCCATTCCGACATTCGCGACAACACACAGAGTGTTGGGTTTGTGAACTCGGACATAGGAGCACTAAGAGTAACAGAACATGACATATTTTGTCACAAGCACTCAAAGGCTACACGTAACAACAAAATGCATAACCAAGGTAACCAAGTACAATATAATAATTTATAGTACCGGTAGGGGATTTTCTTTTTACAGTTCCAGGTGCACACCACATTGTGATTGTGTCGACCAATTTACTACTTTGAAACTATACATACTAGCAAAGGAAAACAAAACGTTTTGGATTAAAGTTAAATAAAAACAAAACCAATATACGTGTTTATTTGAATTATTCTTGATCACAGTGCATTTTCCTAACTTTACTCATCTGATTTCACTACTTTCTAGATTTTTTTAAAAAAGGGCTTGGTGCCAAGAAGAGTGAAATATGTTTTTTGCAGTATTTATAGTTTCATAGTTTTAGTGCAACGCTGCATCGTGTATCATTTTTGGTTTCATTTTAAAATGCAAGAAACATTTACAGCGAAAATAAATAAATAAGGCCACAGTATCTCCTTCAATTTAAGTTGCTCCATCATTTATAAACATGTCAGGACTGCCGGTAAAAGGTGTCAAGTTTCAAGTGTCAATCAAAGATGAATGTATTATCAAAAAAATTGTCTTTATTATTAATAGGTACATACCTTAAAGAATTCAAGCTGTAAGTTAATGTGGTTATATACGAGCAGCTGCTTGCTGGTGCGACATGCCACAATTTACATATAATCCGATTAGTCAGCTAATTGCTACTGCTGCTGATGATTAGTCCATTAGTTTAGTTTGAAGTCGATCGAATAAAATCTCCAGGATAAGTTAGTATAACCATCTTTCTATAAAAGGCCGAGAAATGCGACAGCTTTTGTTGCCACTGTGAATTATCTGAATTCCTGGTGCAGCCCCCGCTACGCCTTTTTTTGAAAAGTCACAATATTTACTAAAGATCATGATCAAAGTCTAGAGGCTTTTCTGACAAAAATTCAGGTAGATCTGGTCATTGTGCTCAGCGAAATACAGTACTGTACAGTACATTAAAAATGACATTTCTTCTCACCACTAGGTAGCAGTATATTTATAACAAAATATTGTCTTGGAGATATCAAGTCAAAACTAATTATACCTATAAGGTTTGGGATTTTGTGGTGCATGTACAGGAAATGTATTAACCCTTTCAGGCATAGCGGTTACTGCAGTGGAGAGCTTATCATGGTCTTAGGTTACAGGGTGCATGAAAGGGTTAAGCATTTCCTCTTGTGTAATCATAGAAAGGGTTCCGTCAGTCGTCATCTGTACCTGTGGGTAAAAAACCAAAAACAAAAAAGGACGTTTCGCTTCTCTCACAGAAGCTTCGTCAGCGGTAGACAACTCTGAAGTCTCCGTGAAGACTCCGGGAAATTGCTCTGCGCTAAAAAGCTGAGCGTGGCCTATTTGACGGAGACTTCCGAGTTGTCTACCGCTGACGAAGCTTCTGTGAGAAGCGAAACGTCCTTTCTTGTTTTTTACCCACAGGTACAGATGACGACTGACGGAACCCTTTCTACGATGGAACTTTCCTGTACGACTGAGAGCCTCCACAAGCATCTTGTTGTGTAAGAAATATTAAATACTGCAATTGGATGTCGACCAGTTAAGGGTGTCTTCCGCCTCGCACCCAAAGACAACTGGGATAGGCTCCAGCATGCCCGTGACCCTCGTGAGGGTCAGCAGTTCTGAAAAGCGGATGGATGGAAATATGAAACGCAAAATGTGATGCCCCCATCATGCAGTATGGTGAAAACTCAAACTCTTGAGATGGCGCAATCTACTTTGGAAGTCAATCAAATGAAACCTCTAGGACATAGGTGTCAAACTGAGGTCCTGGAGGACCGCTGTCCTGCATGTTTTCCAAGTCTCCATGTTGCAACCCACCTGATACAAATGAACAGGTTCAATATCAGGCTTCTGCAGACCTTGCTGGTGATCTGATCATTTGAATCAGGTGTGCTGCAACAGGGAGACTTTGAAAACATGCAGGACAGCAGCCTTCCAGGACCGGAGTTCGACACCTGTGCTCGAGGACAAGGTCCCACAAACACAAAAAAGGTACATTCAAAAATGTGTATCTCATTTCGTGTTCATTTTAGGATGTGCTTTTGTTGACTTTTTTTTTTTTGTACATTTCGGGTTGCTACACATGCCTCCCAATTTTCTTTGAACTAGGCCAAAAGTTCTGCAACAGGGCTCCGTTGAACTTTAGTACTGGGTGCTAGAGAACCAATTTTGTAAAATCGTGCATGACAACTTCAAAATATCAACCTTTTCGCCAGGCCCAATGGGCATACAACGTTTCATGAGTTTTGGGGCATGTTTATGCTCTCAAAAATGTGATTCATTTTGCTAAGAAGCAAAACAAAAAGAAGAAATAATTACAATTACAATAGGGCCCCAAAAATCCATTTTATATGTAGGTGCCTTTCAGGACACTGGAGTTTACAAGAAAACACACATATTAAATAACAGCAATTGAAAATTTCGGGAGATTCACGAATGGCTGTTGCGTTCCAGGTACACATCAGAGTTTATGCATGCAGTCCCGACATTGACTTTTGATCTCCTTTCAGGTGTTTGACAGACTTCAGGACATCAGTGACCTGGTGAGGAAGAGCGACCTTGTCCCCACTCCTCACTGTGTTTCCCCTGGATATCGCCGCTCTTCAGATGCCAGCGTGGAGGTTCTGGCCCAACAGTTGTCCAAACTGGGACCGCTAGAGGACACCTACCAGCCACCCATAGGCACCTGCCCACCTCCTCCGCCATTCACGAGGACCGCCTTCCATTCTTCCCTCCCTACTTCCTCCCACCCTGTTCACTTCTCCTCTCTACCACCTCACCTATCCTCCCTCCGTGCTGCGTCTTCCTTCTCCTCACTCCCTCCTCACACATCTTCTGTTCATGCACCCTCCTCCTCGTTTGAGAGTCCGTGTGAAACAGATGAGAGTCGAGGTTTCTCCCAGTATGACCTTTCTGCTGGGAGCCAGATCAACTCCAAACTGTCATCCTTATCCCCACACACCAGTGAACAGGACCAAAATCGAACTGGGGCCACAAAATCCCGGTCCAGAGAACCTTCTGAGGACCAGTACAACCTTCATGACAGAATCGGACCTGGTCACCCACACAGGCCCCACAGTGGCCCTCAGATTGCAGTGAGACCAGGACCAAGTGGATCAGAAATTTCCTCTCCTCCAGCTCCTCTCCAGTCACTGTGTCCCCAGACCTCAGGTAAGATTACAAAGATTGTCTGAAATGACATCCATCAGTACATTATAACATGTCATGTGTTGGCCTGCTCTTGCGGGTGACCAGATGCTGTGCGGCCTTGTGAGGAGTTCAGGGGTCCGGAGGAGAGTGATGAGCTGGAATATCTTGCTGCTACAGAGATCTGACTGTTAGAGATGGATTTGGTGTGGTTTGTGAACGAGTACATTCCTTTTGCTCAGGTCAACTATTGTCTATTATTTTGGAATAAGACACAATCCAAGTATTGAGCCTCCCCACATGCTGAACCTGGATTACGTCCGACTCTTGACTAATTGGGCATCCTGTTTGGCTCTTTGAAATCATAAAAATTGACCGTGGAAGCTCAAGGAAGAGTGACACTCCAAATTTCACAGAAAGATGACAACTGTGACATTCGTCTTGATTGACACTGGACATTCACAGATTTTATTGATGAATGATAACAAATGGGTACAGTAAAGGGTTCATCCTGTTCCTGTTGTCAATAGCTTGGAAAACTGTTCACTGCAGTGTACTTTGTACATACCTATACAGACTATAAGTAGTGTGGTACATTTGAATGCTAGTAACATGACCAAAATTTAATTCAATCCCTTGGGGCTCGTGCACTGAGTGACTTCGCCAAACGCAACTGAACTGCCACTGTGTGGTGTTCTACAACAAGTTTTCATGAGTGGCTGACCATCAGCCAATAACTTTGCTACTATTCAAAATTTGAATCGCAGGTGAGTGTAGTTGCAACGTTGGAGAGGTAACGGGCAATCACAATTCCATTTCTTCTTATAAGTTTCACAACAAAAATCACATTTGTGGGTATGAAGCGAGATTGTATATCGAGATACTTTTTGTATTCACATGGGAAAGTCATTGTTCCAGTAGTCTACAATGAAAACAACACAAGGCAAAGTAGCCATGCCGAAGTACACATAAAAATATTTAAGAGATGAACATTTTTAAATATTGAGTCGGTAACATTTTGAAAGACAAGAAAAATTTCAGGCATAACTGCAAGTTTTTTTTTTGTTTTGTTTTTTTAAAATACGGAAATTTAAAAAAAGGTTGCAATTCCAGTCTGGTCTTGAAAGTCCAGAATAAGGCACATGGTGATCAGTGTGTGAAATGTTGACTGTTCGGTACTGGGTCGAGGGAATGCGACATTCGAGTTTCCCTCAGGTGCCATTAAAAAAGTGCATCCATGGCTTGGGGCAGGAAGGATTTCCTCAATCAGTGGAGTAAGGCAGTGAATAATCCTCAGTCACCAGTCGAGCAAGGCAGGGAGTAACAGCCTGTCCCAGAAGCTGCCTGGAGGTTGTGCTGTGCACTGGAAACTGTGGTTTGTCCATGATGGACAGAAACTTGTTGGCCATCTTCCTTTCTACCACAGATGTCAGTCTCAATGCCAACAAGAGAGCCTGCTTCATATCTTCCTCCTCCATTTGTCTAGGCAGGAAGCTTCCCTTATCTGAACTCACTGTGGTTGTGAGTTGCCACTATATTTTTATTTGTATTTATTTAATTTTCAGGAATTCATTCGATGCGAGCAGATAACTGATTCATAAAAAGTTTTCTGTAGTTTTTAATGCCATTTATTCAGGTGTATCTGTGCTGTTTCGAGGTTGCATTTAATGTGTTTTTTGATGATCCGATTACATGGTTGAAAAATGTTGCTTCAACCCATCATGTCACGAACATTCGCAGGGTCCATGTCTGTGATCTTTTCCAATCTACTGTACATGTAATACTGTAGTCGGAAACTGCTGCTTGGAAGAAAAATTACACCTGCAGCTCCTACAACGTGCTGTACACAAGATCAAACATAAAGGTTGATATTGAATAATAATGCAAACCTGTAATAATTTTTCAATAAATGTTTTTTTTTAAGTTTGGTGCAGTTTAACGTGCTTATATATATTCGTTCTCCATTGCAATGTAAGATAAGCAAGCATGAAACCTTACTTCTATAGCAGCTTAGTAACACAAAGTGCAATGCTACTTTAGTGTGGTTGTTGCAGTCTACTGGACTATCGGCCATTTGTCTGTCCACTCATATGTGTCCGTTACGAGTCAAATTGCTGAAACAAAGGGGCTTCTGTGCACAGGACGACGGCTCTGGCGATTAGCCGGCTGCTTGTTGCTAACAGCTAACGGCTAGCCCTTAGCACCCTGCACCCTCTTGCTGTCGCGCTGTTTGGTTTGGTTACTGTTAACAGCAAAATGGCGCCTTCCATCCCGGCGCATAGACGTGCCACTATTTATTTTTGACTGCAGATAGGGCTGGTTCCTTAGTGCTCTACCGCACGCGTGCACACAGCCGCTGCCAAGAGGGACTCGCCTGGATCAGAAGATGCACGTCTGCTTCGTGTTTATGTGAACCCGCAGCGCCCGGCTACAGTGTTCAGTACCGACTGCTCCGTTTTCACCGGCAGAAAATGGCCGATTGTTAGGACGACTCGCCATGCTAGTAAGTAGCGCAGTGAAACAATTAAAAACGAGTGAGCCGGGTTCAGACGTTTGTTTGCACGGTGGTATCCAAGGGATTATTATCTGGGGCAATCAACAAGTCATTGCTTTACAATTTTCAGCAAAAGCCGCTAGTTAGCTGCCAACCAACTTCAAACTGGCCGGCTAGCAATCGAGCTAAAACGAAACTGCCGCTCGAGACGCGGACGGAGATTTTAAGTCAAACGTTTCGTTCGGTTTCTCCCCAACAAAGAGCATTTAATAGTGGACTCTGACGGAAGCGACATGGAAGTCGAGCCTGTGGTGCTTCATCCCCGCTGGAAGCGTGTCCTAGGCTGGAGCGGTCCTGTGCCACGGCCCCGTCACGGACACAGGGCCGTGGCAATCAAGGAGTTGATGGTGGTATTTGGTGGAGGTAACGAGGGCATCGTGGACGAGCTGCACGTCTATAACACAGGTACCGGCACCGATCCAGGTGGAGAGTTTACTCTTTTGACAATATATAGGGTTTTGTTGTGCTGGAGGTTGAGGTAATGCTGGGGGTTGACCTCTTTAGTTACCAAACGCTTTGTGGCCGCGCAAGTGATTCTGATCTAAATGCATCCTTCCTGTTCGTATTTCTGGGAACTGTATTCATGTTCTGATGATCTTAAAACGTCGTTGTATGGTTTGAACGTTGACGTGCTAGCCTAACTGCTGGCTTCTTCCAATTCGTCGGCAGGATGTCAAAAGAGAAATGGCGGGTTTTACTGAAAACAATATAACGTCACAGAGACACGCCCCTTTGTTTCTGCTGAGGAATAAGGCTAAGTCATACATTCATATTTTTGCTGGATGCTGAATATTACCCCCCCCCCCGCGAAAAAATAGTCCCATTTTAAAGAAAAAAAACCCGAAAGATACTATGCTATTACTAAGCAAGTTTTAAATTGTAAACTTTTCTTGTTAGACAACATGAAATGCATCCTCCATCCTTCAGTTATGCCCCTTTACATCTCCATGGGTTTCATCTGATGGTGTTCCCATCCCCCCTACTTATCCCTGTCCGACCTCCCCACCACAGCTACCAACCAGTGGTTCATCCCTGCTGTGCGTGGAGACATCCCGCCTGGCTGCGCGGCTTATGGCTTTGTGTGTGATGGCACCAGACTACTGGTGTTTGGAGGAATGGTGGAATATGGAAAGTACAGCAACGACCTCTATGAGCTGCAGGTGAGCAGGAGTCTTGGTTGATTTGATGGGGGGGGTTAAAAAACTATCATGTGTAGGGGTGGGAATCGATAAGATTTTAACAATTCTGCTACTCTTAACGATACTTCTTATCGATCTGAACTGTAAAAGAAGACAAAAAAAGGGAAACCATGCCATGCCAAAAACTTAAAACATAAGTAAAAAGCAATGAAATAATAGCTAACAGCGAAACATATAAGTTCAACAAAATACTATAATATATTTATAGTAAACTCAAGCTGCAAGCAGCTATAAAGGGCCCTCACACCGCTGGCAAATTTGGAATATTGGCATGTTGGGACACTGCACCTCAGATGAAAAGAGACTTCGAGAAAATATGACCCCTATAAAAGGCCAAAAGTCAGGCAAAATTTGAAAGGGGATGTAGTGATTACAATCCTGAATACTTTGGAGTACAGCTCCAGAGACTTCTTTTTTTAAATCTTGGGATGTTACATATGGCTCCAACTTTGAGTAGATTTTGGTGACGTGGTCAACTGGGGTGCGGCCCAGTGGTCCAGTGGTTAGCGCGTCGACTTGACAGTGCAGAGGTACCGGGTTCAATTCTAGCTCTGGCTTTTGTTTGCATGTTCTCTCCGGGTATTCCGGTTTCCTCCCACATTCCAAAAAATGCATGACAGGCTGATTGAACACTCCAAATTGTGAGTGTGAGCGCAGATGGTTGTTCCTCTGTTTGTGCCTTGCGATTGGCGGGCAACTCGTTCAGGGTGTCCCCCGTCTTTTGCCCGAAGACAGCTGGGATAGGCTCCAGCATGCCCCGCGACCCTTGTGAGGATAAAGTGGTTCAGAAAATGGATGGATGGATGGATGAATGGATGGGTCAATCGGGGCTTTTTCGTTAAAATATGGAAAGGGTGCAAGAAACCATAAAAAAAGAACTGCACTATGAACTCATAGAATAGTGATCATTTTTCCGAGCTTGATGTGAGTGCCAGTTTTCATATGTTTTCATAAATGTAAGATCATCAAAAATTGTCATTGTTCTAAGCCAGGGGTCGGGATCTCCGGTTCCTCAAGAGCCTGTTTTAGATCTCGCCCTACTCCAACATACCTCATTCAAATAATCAGGATCATTTCAGGCTTCGACAAAGCTTGCTAATGACCTGATGATTGTTTGAATCAGGTGTGTTGAATTACAGAGATATGCGAAAACAGTCTGGATATGTCTCTCGAGGAACCGGAGTTCCCTATCCCTGTTCTAAGGTAACAGTGCATTGCTGCGGCAACAGCGGTGGATGAAATAAAACGTTTTTGATCTTGGTGACGCCTACAAAAAATTGTTTAAAATTGTGAAAAATCTGTTTAAAACGCGCTTTTACACCGATCATTCTTCTTGATATATGGCACCTTTTATAGACTGATAGAAAGCCTGTATTATTCACCAGTAGGTAGTTGTGTGTTGTTGTGTGTTCACAACCCCCCATATAATTTATTTTGTGATTTCCTCTCTTGATTTTCTGTTTGCGCATTATATGTTTGCTTTTCTGAGTGTCATTGAAGTCATCGTTGATTTACGTTTTCGGGGGCGGTCATTGAACGTCTCTCGAGCAGAAGGCATGTGGACCGAGAAGGAGAATGACGTGCCTGTACAGTAGTTGCTTGAGTTGTGTATGTTTTAAAAAGAACCAACACGACAGCTCTTTGTTTTCAATCGTTATGCACCGCTGCAGAAACTGCCGTGTGAAGGCAAGTGGGGCTGCACCGGGGTTAACACGCTTCTCTTTAGTCAGCAGCTTTGCAGCTTTGTACGTGTGAACGCTTCACAAAATTTGCTCCCTTGTAAGATATATCGCAACAATATATAATAATTTTCAAGCTTCTGGACACTGTAGTGGAGGTAGCAGATCCCGTCAGCACGTTTATAAAAATGGATCCCCACCGTGCAGCAACCTGGTGAACCAATTTATACTCATCTGGTACGCCACGAGGAACTCCAATTACACCAACATAGGTGGAATCTCAAATATCCTCTCCTGTGGACGGAAACATAGTCATTGGTAAAGCAGTGACACCAATGCGCAAACACCTGTGACAACCCTTAAAGCAGAGCTCTTTCATGATTTTTCGCAAAGAAAAAGAAAAACTCTCGGCCGCGATAATCATCATTTGCCTTCAAAATCGGTAGAAGTACCCTACTGCATTACATTGTATCCACATTAACATAAAATAAAATAAAATAACAAAAGAAAGAAATATAGTTCAACTTTCAGCAGAAAATAACTATATTAACGTCGGGTTGTTTTCTTTTGTCCTTTTACCATAAAAGAAAAGATCCTAAACGCATAAAATCACCTAAAAAATGTATTTAAAATCCGTATCTGAACCTTTATGACCAAATTAATGCACCATTTGAACTAGAAATAAATCAATAAACAGTAATAAATTCAAATTCAGCCCAGCAACATCAACAGAGGAGCACAATACATAAATCACTTCAACCTCCAAAACAAAACCGAATAAAATAAGTCGTGCTCTTTTTTATCACCCTAGGTGTGTTCACTTCTCAAATTTTTTTTTCCATAATGAGATCAACTAGATAGATTATAAATAAAACACTTTTGCCTCCAAAACAAAAATGGATACAGCAATTTGTGCCGAAATGTGTTTTTTCTTTTCTTTTCCCAAGATCATCTAGATCACAGGCGTCAAAGTCGAAACCCCACGTAAATTTATGTGGCCCGCGAAAACAATTCACGCACAAAATTTTATATAAATAATGTCGAGATTTTGTGATAATTTTGTTAC